AACTTGACCACTGTGGTGGTAGTAAGTGATTCCATATTAGTTTGTTTATTGGATGTATCACACAGTCAGTGAAACAGTATTAGTGTTTACTGGATGACAAGGTTTTGAACAAAATTTATTACCGTTCATAATCATGTCATCAATTATAATCACACGACTTCAAAACTTGAGTTTTATAGGTTTCTTCGTTCTCTCCTATTTGTCGTCGTTGGGGTAGTAGAATATTCCAGATATCTGGGTGGACAGGTGTTGAATCATTCCTATTACACGTACTATCTCTGAGTTGATTCGATAAACAAAGCTTCTGTTATCAATCTCTCCCTCCCTCCACCCTATTATGTTAGATTTTAAAACTGTCATCCTATCCCAAACATCCCATTGTATGGTTGTGTTGTGTGTAATTGCATGTAGCGAGTGCCATAGCTGAACTATTCTCTAGATTTCTTATCTTATTCGGGTCAACCAATCTAGATTTTAAAACAAGCAATAAAGGTTAATAAAGCAGGATTTAATGAATTCATCAAATTTCGGTAGAACTCGTCAGCTGAATACTCTACATACACGGATATATACTTTTGAAGTTACATTAGGAGATATAGGACTGAATACTTTACATACACGGATATATAGTTTTGAAATTACATTTGGAGATATAGGACTGATAAGTAAACAAACTACATTGAATTAGTCATGCAGAAAGACTACCTACCTATTCTTCCCTTATGACTCCCTCTTAATCTTCCCTGGGATACTTAGGAAAGATTTTATTATACTAAGAAGGGCGATATCAAGCTGTCCGAAGGGTGAGTGGGGTATCGTTATGCCAGATTACAAAAACTGTAGTGGATAAGCACTTGAACTCAAGAAATTTGAGAATATTTTCTCTCGTCGGACTCTGATAGCATCTTCTTTATACAAAAATCTCTTCTTGTTGCATGCATCTTATCAAGTAGAACAAAGGAAGAAATTATAAAAGACTTTAAACTCAGACAACAACAATCCTGAGTGAACCGCGATGGCAAGCCAGCTAGAATGGTGGCCATATTGAAAATTTGACTGATAGAATCCAGTTTGCGGTAAACAAAAGGATTAGACACACGACACTAGTTAGTAATGTCCAATCAAAATTATCTAATACAGTCCTACAGGAGGTCAATCGCGAGCCCGATGGTAACGTCTTTGGCTGCAGCACTCACTGGGCGAAACGGCTTCAAATCTCAGAAGGAGGGATATGAGTGTCCCTTCAAGATTGCTGACACTATTATCAATGTAAATCGCTCTGTTAATTTTCCCTATGTGCTAAGTAAATATAAAGAGAAAATTAGAATCAACATTGTACTGTATGCTGATGATCAGGAGAGCTTTTTTAAGTGTGTACTTCTCAAATGCCCACGCTGCCGTAGAAGTTGATTTCTTCCTGGGGTACCCAAGACAGAAAGAGGACTAGTATTGCGTGATCATAGAGCCAAATAACGCACAGTTTGATTCAACTGGTATCGCTGTATATCCAAATTATGTACACCTTACCTTCAACGCACCATTTGCATAGACCTTCGTGTTGTGGTACTTGGGGACCTCATGTTGTGTTTTCTTTTCATGTCTCCCATGTACCCCTACAATGCTGCATCATTTGCCTTCTCTGGGATCAAATGTATCTCCCTGCTATTTTATGTTGTTATGCCAATAAACGTCTCTTTATTATATTACTGATAAGCCTTATCAGCAGCACTCACCACAGTACAGCTTTGCCCACAGACCCCGCAACACAGTGTGAACATCTTATACTACGCCGGTAATTGATTTTAAGTTGATTGTTAGTTCAACAAACCTTCTGGCACGGTGAGACCTCTCTCTAGGAACATTAGTTCCAGCAAGTGTAGCTCGTTGGGTCATTTTTAGATAAAGCAAGTCCAACCACCTCGTCAAGGTGGCAGCAATTGAACGAAATAACTGTCCAGTGCTCCTTGGTTTCCAGTATTCTCCTCTAAATGATATTGGTTCGTGACGATACCTAACAAGGGAAATTATATTAACCCCAGTGGATGTGTACTGTTGAATAGTCCCAAACTAGGCTGACGAAACAGCTGTTTGGCAGTACTCCCAGGTTTTCCAATGGTTCTCTAATCAATGTCACAGCTCATGATGAAATCCTGTAATCAATCAATCAATCAAATCCCTACAAACCAATACTTAAATATGAATGTGAGATAGTTATCTACACTTTTTCAGAGTCCTTGCTAGTCTGAAAAAGTTACAGCTACACTTCAAGGTTGAACACATAATACTGCGTTTTCATGATTTTATCCCGCGTCGTTGGTTCAACGGTAGACTGCTCACCAACCATGCGCATGTGATCCGGAGTTCCATTACCAGCCGGTGTACACCTTTACCTCCGCTAACCGCTTGTAAGCCTTACAAATAGGGACGGTTGATCGTGAAGATAGCAACCTCATCCCATGAAAAATAAACATCACTGCTACTAGAACTTCAGAGCTTAAGTGTGAAGCTGTTTGTCCCATTGGGAACACAAAGGACTAAAATAAACTAATGCTGATTTTATCCCAGCTGATTTCATCAACCTAGAACTTTGCACAGAAGTGTAACCACCACCAGTTCAAATTGCCATATTCAATGTAGAAAGAACACAAAGGTAGACGATAAAAACAGAACAGAGATTCGAAAGATCGAAAAAAAGCAGAAATCTAAGTGAGAAAGAGCAGTAGTAATGTAACGACAGAAGGCAAGATTCAGGCAACAGATCGTTTATTAATGAAATCAACACATATTTATAGATTTTCGTGTACATTATTATAGATTATTGTTAACTGACAAACACAGTTTTCTGATTGGCTGTTTTTCACTAAAAGTCAACCTTTCATCTCTTTGTTCCTGTCTCTTGAGTGTCAAAACACCTGCTATCTGCTAATTGTATCCGCCTACGTAAAGTCTGCTGTCCATCTTTGATCTTGTTTTTCACATGACTAATATATGAGACATAAACATAGACGTCAATTACTGTCTACCAATTTGGCTAGCAGCTACCTCTCACCACAGTAACACGAAAGTACAACAGAGTTCTATTGGATAAGGTAGATCACAGAAAGTCAATGCATTTGTGATCGATTTTCAGACGTATCAGTAATATTTGAATAAGGCATTTAGAAGACAAATTTCGCGATATGATATCGTCATTTCGTAGTTTCTTTACAACCGCTTTACAACTAACATGGTTAACAATAATAAAATAAAGCACATGACAATTACTCAGTTAAATAAAAAAAACAAAAGTTCTAACTAATGACCAATCATATTTAAATAGGTCATGTAGTTCATGGTAGTCGAAGATTGTTAAAACGGTTGTAAAGAAACTACGAAATGACGATATCATTTCGCCAAATTTGTCTTCTTAATGCCTTATTCAAATTTATCAAAGGGACTAATTGTTTTAATATCAGTAATAGTCTCCAGTCTTCATTGGTACTTAGAATTCCGACAACCCCAACCAACCAGGCAGTCTACACCTCCCCCACATGGCTGACTCAAACTAATTGAGGCTAGGCATCGGTTGCGTGCTAGGTTGGTGGGAGGGGAAATCAAAAGACGAGGCTGTGAAGTTACATCGAATGAGATGGTTAGAACATGTGTTACGCATGCTAGCCTAGTCACCACCTGCTTTCCTCAATGGGCAAAGTTAGCTGACGCAGGGTCAGGTTGGAAAAGAGTTAGCAGATGGCGGTCAACACAAAACATGGCTTAATCAAACAATAAAACCCATAACAGTTAGTTTAAGCCAGCCAGCCACGTAGGGACGTGTAGACTGGCTGGGGTCCTCGGGACGGTAAACACCAATGAAAGCTGGGGACAGTTGGTGGGTGATATGGCTTAAAAATCGTTCTCGGTGATGCCACAGATGATGCATCCACTCCTTGTGACTTATAATTTCCAATGATACTATATTGTTCTTACATGTTACTATTCTTTTTGCGTCTACTGTCTCTGTTTTGCATTCCTTTTTACTTTCTTCTCTTGCTTTATGTGCTAAAAGGAGTGGAGTGTGGCGACTCGAACTTCTCCACATCTATACAAAGTAGTTCTATGTTGAAATCAGTCAGTCAGTCACCTGTCCTCACAATTGACCTGATGGACTATACAGGTCAAGACTTATCATAAGGACTCCATGAAGTCCATCCCATGTAGTCGCTGATATTGAGTATTGGACTAATTGCCATCCAGTATTGAGTTTCGAGTGGAACACACGGCTTCAAGAGTGATCACCACAGTAGCGGTAGCGTTTTCAGTTATGTTTACGAGGTGAGGTTGCCAGTCTCTAGTCTAACCTACTGTCTTTACCCGGCTTATTGATGGTTAACAGGAGGTAAAGGATTGTGTTGGTCGAGGATTGAAACCTGGGTCAATGTGTGTGGTTGAACAGCATCCTGCCAGTAAGCAATTGACGCGTTTGAAAACATCAGGAAATATTATTACTTGTTCTCTGTTGACTTCATCTAGGTTACATAACACTTCTGCTTCCAATCTAGGAACACCCTCCCCATTGATTTACGTTTCTTTCCTTAAGCTACAGGATTATATTATACGAGATATTTATATAACTGTCTGTGCCATCCCCCGCCAACCTCTTTTAGAAGAGAAAATCAAACACAAAATTAGTAAATAATAATGATGATGACATGATTTATTGAGTAACGCTTCAGAGCTCTAGATATCAACTGAATAAATATCATTGAGAAGTGAAAAAAATGTGTAAGCGACAAGTGATAGAGAACAAAGTAGTAACATCAAAAAAGAGAAAATAACAAAAAAATGCATAAGCTATAAGGTAGAAAAATATATATGATCACAGAGGCAATAGCAACACACAAACACACAACATTGAGAGATCAGGTAGGCGCAGTGGATTGCATTAAATAAAAGGAACTGACAATTTAGTCAGTCAGTCAGTCCGTCAGACAGTCAATTATCTTTATTGTGTCTATATATTATTAATTGCCTTTAAATAGCTTTTGAACATTTTCTAAATTTAAACACGGTTCACCTTCAAGGCGACTAGCCACTTGTGTTTGACCTTGTAACTGAAAGATTAAAACAAGATAAAGTTGAAAAATCAATCAATCAATCAGTCGATCAATCAATTAATTAATCATAATAAATATATCATGAAATAGGTAACAAAATTCGACTAAGTGCAACAATAATGTGATATAAAACAATAGCATTGTTGACATTAACTATTTTTAGATATTCTAGTTAATGGATACATACATAGAAATGTAAAGGATATTCAATAAATCAGACAGACAAATATTTCATAGTTTGGTTTGTTAGGGTTAGTTAGTTTTTTTACGAGTTGATCACGGATTGTTATCAGTTAAAGAACCATTGATAACAACCAGGGAGTACTGGACATCCAGCTGTTTCATCCCAATGTGGGAATCATCGACAGTACACACCCACCAAAATGGTTTGAACCCATGAACTTCCGGTTACAAAGCAAGCTGGCTCGTATACCACTCAGACACTCGGGAATCCAATTTAAATCACGAATTGGTAGAAGTTAGAATTCATGGGATGGCCATTGAATCGAGTGCCACCCAGTGGCTGAATGGTATACGAGCTAGCTTTCCTTGTAACCGGAAGGTCGTGGATTCGAACCCTGGCAGTGGGTGCATACTGCCGATGATTCCCACACTGGGATGAAACAGCTGGCTGTCCAGTACTCCCTGCTTGTTTTCACTGGTTCTCTAACTGATAACAATCCGTGATCAACTCGTATATATATATATATATATATGTATATATATAGGAGTTCAAGTATCTCCCAATGAATGAAAAACAAAACGATATCGTTGTGATTTTTAATGACGTTTCGCCATTTAATGCTAATAGCTTAAACCAGAATTTACAAAATCTCAGCTTATGTATAACAGTCTAATCATCGTTCATCAACAAGGGGTCATTCTTCCGTTGTCAAGTTGGCCAATTGGTAAAGATAACAAAATCAGGTGTAGATTAGTTTGATTTATAACAGCGTGTGTTTACATCACATTCGTGTTGATATTGTCACTTCATGGGGGAGCGGGGTGTTGTAACCAGGTTAAATTCTGTTTTACTCCACAATTCATTGCTATTGACCTGCTCGTGTGGAGCCAGGTATGTTGGCCTTACCCAGCGTTCACTTCCCAAACGTATCACCAAACACTTACCAACATGGTTTTATAAAGGAGAAAAACGATGGCCCGCAGCTCTATCTTAGAACATCTGTTAGATTCCGGACACTAGGCTATACCCCAAACAAACTTCAAAGTCGTCTACAAAATATGAAGCAGTCTTTCTAAAAGTGTACGAATCAAACTTCTTAAAACTGCAGAAGCAATGGCAATTCACTCGCTAAACCCTGAACTCTGCATACAGAAGAAGTTCGTTCAATCACCACACTTGCAATGGACGTAATCTATCATAATACCCGACAGGTAAATTCTATTTCTTTCTTTCTGTCTCTTCATGAGTATTATTTTGACTTTACTATTGTAATATTTTACATTTTCAACTTTCCTGTTCTATACCCCCACCCGCTTTAATTTCTACGCCTCATTACCACTGTTACTGACTTGACCGACGCTCAATTTCTAGTCAATTGTGTTACGTCATCCAATTTATTTTGTTCAACTTAAATGGCACTATTCCTTACCCCACCTCTACTTAGTCTCTACCTGTAATTACCTCTGTTGCTCTCCTGACCTAAGTTGAAACATTTTAGTCAATTATATTACGTCATCTAACTTACTAACTAACTCAATCTTACTTTAGTTGCTGTCTGATTAACCTTGTTTCTATATTAGATCATTCTTGTATTACCTGATAAATTATCTAAACTTGACAAACCTCATGTACACACACACACAAATAATTATATATAAATGAGATGGGACAGCTATGTGAATGAATTCGCCGTCGAAAAGAGTCTTTTCGCTGAACGTTTTCTCTTTTTCATTCCTATTCAGACAGTTTGGATTCCACTTGATATGAAGTGCTTCTGATGATATTAGATGTTCTTTGTGATTTCTGAAATGCTTTTTCTGGATGATGATTTCAATATTGTCAAAACCATTTTGCTGACTTGATTCTATAGCGTGTAGACCTACGGTTGATGATTTTTCAAGCCTTTCTAGCTCAACTGGATTTCTCGGTGGTCTAATAGATGAGGCTCTCCGGTGTTCAATTCTTCTGATTTTGATTTCTCTCTGGCGATGTTTGTCCCATGTATATCGCATCACATTCCAAGCAAGCATTTTATTTTCTAGACACAATTAGATAGAGAATTCTTAGGGATTTGGTCTTTTATATAGACAAAGTTGCCTTGTTGTGCGTTTTGTGTTTTGAAGAAAACTCTGACATCAGTAAAAACAATATAATTTTATTTTTCATTCATTGAGAAATACAAGGAAACCTTTATTATAATATCATATACCCAATGCCCAAATTTTTTCAAACTGTTAAGAGTTCAAGTATCACTGAATTAAATTAAGAAGAAAATCAATGTAACTATTCCCTTGGGTTCCGAGTGGAATAATAAGGCTTTTGCCAAAAACATCTTCACTTTGTTCTATTTTCTACTGTCCTCTTCATCTGGGCTCAGGATTGCCCACAGTCTCTCATCTCCTCCTTCTCTTCCCCGCACGACATCCTCCAATGTCATTCTCAGACACCCTACTCGTCGTTTCACACGAACGATAACACTCGACGGTTTATCCAGCATATCGCAAACGATTAGTTCTTGGATAGTTTGTTCCCACGGTTTCCTGTCTTTTTAATTCTTCCCTCCAGTCATTTGATCTTCAATTACAAAGTGATCTTCAGGTGATAATCAACAACAAGTTGACAGAAGATAAAAGTCAATCCCGGAAATTATACATCCCCAGCGGCGGTAAGATCTCACAATACGGAAACAACTTTTCATAAACCAATGCTGTGTGTGACCGGCCTGAAAACAGACGTCCTCTAGGCGGCTCTTTGATTACACAACAGTAATTTTTCTTCTGTTTTCGATACTCCAAGACAGAAATCAAATTCTACGAGGATGTGCGCGGCCGAGAAGTAACATCCTTCAAAAACACTTCCAACCAACTAGGTAGGTAAGCTATGTGTACATAACAAATTTGACTAATACTGTGGTGAGAGCTGTCTACTAGCCAAATCGATAGACAGCTATTTACGTCAATGTTCACGTCCCGAATCGGGGTCATGACAAAAATAACAAGAACATAGACTAACTCAACAACAAATCACAGCAGACTGCGTGGGCGGATACGATCCGCAGGTATATGGTGTGACCTTCGAATAAATGGTCAGAAAGAGATAACAGAATAACCTTCAGCGAGAAAACGACCAATGAGAAGACGTTGTTTCTCTGCTAGTAATAACGAATAATAATGTACATAGAAATCTATAAATATCTGTTGATTTTCTCAATAAACGATCTGCTGCCTGGCCCTTGTCTTCTGTCGTTACACTAGTAGCTGAGAGAGGTTTAAGAAGGCATCTGTGGCCAGGGATCGAATACCGGGCTGTATGCGTGGTTGGAGGTCAGCAGTCTACGGCAATTCACTACGGACGCGATTCGGAGCAAGGAAAAAGTTATCAAAAACAAAATTTATACTTACGAATGATAACGATAGTAAAGTGGGTAATTGTTTCACTTGATATAGTGGATGTGTACGATATTTGTTATTGGCATCATTCCATCTGGGAGACAAAAAAAGCGCGAAAAAAGAGCAAAATACGGACAGTTATAATATCTCGTATAATATAATCCTGTAGCTTAAGAAAAGAAAAAGTAAATCAATAGGGGTGTGTGGCTGGGTGGAGGTAGAAGTGTTATGTAACCTAGATGAAGTCGACAGAGAACAAGTAATAATATTTTCTTATGTCTTAAAACGCGTCAATTGATTACCGGTAGGATGCTGTCCAACCACGCACACACACACACACATGGTCCAGGTTTCAATCCTCGACCAACACAATCCTTTACCTCCTGTTAACCATTAATAAGCCGGATAAAGACAGCAGGTTAGACTGGAGGCTAGCAACCTCACCTCGTAAAGATAACTGAAAACGCTACCGCTACACCACAGTAGCGGTGTGTGTCCCACTCGACATTGGATGAAAATTAGTCCACTTTTCAATATCAGCGACTACACGGGATGGACTTCATGGAGTCCTTATGATAAGTCTTGACCTGTATAATCCATCAGCTCAGTTGTGAGAGCAGGTGACTGACTGATTGGTTTCAACAAAGAACTTTGCACATATGTTCAGCAGTTCAAGTCGCCACACTCCACTCTTTCTAGAACACAATGGAAGAGAAGAAAGTAAAAAGAGATGCAAAACAGAGATATGAGACAAAAATAGTAACATGGAAGAACAATAGATTTTTTATAAGTTACAAGGAGTGGATGCATCTGCACTAGCCATTGAGAACTGGGATTTTGAGCCATAACACCGATTGTCTCCAGCTACTTGCTGGACGCGGTGGCGTGCGCCTTTAATCTAGCTACCTGAAGACCAGGTTGCGGGACTTCGCGGGAACGGAAACCTGGCATATGGATGCTAACGTTAATCGGACGTGCACGCAAAACTCAATGGATCCATTGACTGATATCTATTCAAGAAAAAATCTCACAACTGGTTGACTTTCGTCTACAATTCTTCAAGTTTGTGTGACATTAGTTATATAAATCTTCAGCAGTGTCCAGATATTCAAGGAGGTTCCTGTCAGCTCTATCCTAGAACATATTAAGGTGGATGGCAGACAGGCTATTCAATCGATGTACTCTCTCACAATTAATTAAGTTTCCCAATTCGCAAAAAAAGCAACGCTTAAACTCTTTCTGATATTTTACAGCATAGTTATAAGTAAAATGAGTTGAATGCCTTACTCATTCTGATCACCAACTTCAACCATTAAGAATAAATCTTCTTCTTTAGTGTCTTTCATAGCTTGTTCAAGAACACCTTCACCTGATATAAAGTAAAACAAAAAGAAAACATACAAATGAAAAAAGACGATCGATATAAGTATAAAACTTGGGCACTGGTGTGGTAGACTATAACTGCATTATAGATTAAATTTTATGCTGATAAATCACAGTGTTGTACAGTAATATCTACTGATGACGTTTCGAGCATAAACTATTGCTCATAGTCATATCAACTTGATATGATTATGAGCAGTGATAGATTGTGATCGAAAGATGGTTATCAGTTAATATTACTGTATAACAACACTGTGTGATTTATCAAAATAAAATCTTATCCATAATGGAAAAGATGACTGAATTAAAGACAAAAAACAGAGCAAAAAACAAATAAGTAATCAGGTGACAATGAGGAATTGCTTCGGTCACTACTTCTACACACATGAACTCTGGTCAACAATGACAACCTGTTAGCTGTACAATCCGCATTAATATTATTAAATTTTAACTGATTAAAAATGGCCATTAAAATTTTCAAAAAATAAAATAAAATGGTTTTTGAACAAAGAATCCTCTTTTCGATAAAACTAATTCATTCATTATTGATATAAGTATAAAACTTGGGCACTGTGATGGTAGAGTATAACTCCATTATAGATATGATTTTATTCTGATAATAGATATTTAGACTTTAATTCATCTCATCCGTCGTTGTCTATCTGTAAAGGCAGGCTTAGTTAAGTGTCTAACAAACCGAGTAGTAGCAATAAGTTGTACAAGAAAAGACCTAAACGATGAAATGAAACAGATAGAAGAAGCGTTGGTGTTGAATAACTATCCTAAAAAATTCATTAGGAAGATCAAAATAGGTCAAAAGCAAAAAAGAAAATAATGGCGAAACTAATAATGATAACATACATAAGAGAGAATATAAGGCATCTACAGTAGTTTTACCATACAAGGAGGGGACATCTGAGACCCTACGCAGCAATTAGGATGGCATTCAAACCTGCAAACTCACTCAGGTAGAACAAGCTCTGTAGGCTGAATGAACCTGTAGGTTGACCCAATAAGACAAAATAATATAATTTACAAAATACCTTGCAATGACTGTGAGTTCAGTCAAATACATAGGTGAAACTGGTAGATCGATCACGGTAGTCAGATTGTGAGAACATAAGAATTTAGCTAAAGTAAGAATGGTTGACCTAATCCGCGGAGATAAGTAATTCAGAAAAACGCTCAGCGATTGCACTGCATGCATTAACACACAACGACACAATAGGGTGGGTGGGAGAGTTAAAATTTTAGGATGTACTATAGCTAGGTGGAGACAGAGATTGATCACTGAATCCTGGTTCATTGAGTCTACACCCAACATAACACATGCAATACAAGTGACTCAATGCAAATACCAGAAATATGGAAGATATTGTCGGCAGTCAAATCAGAAGAGGATAATAAATAATCTTAAATTGTATTCTATTTGAATTCAATTCACGTACATCACAACATTCTAACAAGTTACTTATTTTAACCATAAAAGCACTCGTCTTATTCCCCATCTGATTGTATTTGATCAATAACACTCATATTATTATTTCTGAATGTACTTTATCCTATATTGATTTTATCCAAATGACTAATGTGATGAGTTATCACATAATCATAATTGTTTATATTACTATTTGTCCTTCACAGAGTATCCTCTGTAATTGGATTGAAGAATACTGTCTCTCCCGAGTGGTTGCAGAAAGGTAGAAAAGGTGCTATAAGATTCCTTGTCGACACTGACTGATCAATCTGTCTCTGTCTTAATAAATTGTTTTTTCGAAGTAGTCTACAAAATGAGGAACAATCTGTCAAAGACAATACACTGAAGCTGTAGCCATTCACAGAGAGAAACAGGGAGAGAGAGGAAAACAGGACCACTGCATGGATATATAAAAGAAAATTAACAAACACCACTTCTAACCAATCTGAAATTTTGTTTGTTTATTCATTGTTTTAACTCTTAACAATTCTTGTATTTCGCCTGTGTACTCTTGAGTAATATCACAATTCCCTTCGTTTTTTCTTCTTTCTAATGTATGTGCATTCTGATTATTTTTATATCACTACGTTAAACTCTAACTCCCTTGTTCAACTTTCCTGTTACCAAGGGATAATCTGATTGACTTAGAATACGCAAATGATATAGTCCTCCCTGCTAGAGTCTTTTGAACACCTTGAGCTGCAATCTGCAAATGCTGGTATGCGATTAGCCCTTTGCTTTCAAATGCAAGATGATGCTACGGGACTGAATGAACTACATCGACTCAATCCTCGTTTTAAGATACGCAGGAGTGAAGTGGTTGGTGTAGCGTGTTGACAACTTCATTTGTTATTTGGGAAGTTGCATTAGCCAGTCCCAGCAAGTTAATCGTTGACGAAATCGCAGGACAGATACAGATGGCTCGTTTAGCATACTCTAAGTGACGCTATCTCTGGTGTAGACATGATATCCGGCTGGCTATCGACCAAAGGATGTGTATACTGCTCAGCAAAGTAGTTCGCTCTATCCTCCTTTGTGACTGGCTGTGAGTGAGAAACAGTCATTGAAAGTGGAAGACATGAAAAGCCTGGCTAGCTGGCTATCTTTGATCATAGGTGTCTACGTTCTGTCTCTCATGCTAGGAGTTGGCAGGCGTAATAGGGTGAGTAATATTGAGGTTAGGCTTCGGTCGAGAGGTTGTGAAGTCATACCGACTGAGATGGTTAGGACATGTGTTACTCATTCCCAACCATCGATCGCGTTCTTCAACAAGCATTGTTAGCTGACATAGGGTGGACGGGTTGAAAAAGAGCAAGTGGTACCTAAACCAAAACATAGCTTCATCAGTCAATGAAATTAATCACAGAAATTAGTTTAAGTCGTGTAGGGAGGTGTAGACTTCCTGACTGGTTAGGGTCATCGGGAAGGTAAAAAACAATGACTGGAGACGACCCGGTGATATGGCTCAAAATCATCGTTCTCCATGATGGCTGGCGTGAAGATGTATTCACTCTTTGTAATTGATCTATCACATCCAATAAAACTCAGTTGTTCTTCCATATGACGATTCATTTTCTCTTACACTTCTGTTTATAATCTCTCTTAACGAGCTCGCTATTAAGTCCCCCTGTAGCACCACCACTATCTGAGAAATAAAGTTAACTATCTGAAGTTTAAAACTATTCATTTATGTCCTTGGGTCTCAAAATAAACTCTCAGTTTGACTTCCATCACAACCTAATAATGTCGTGTATTCCTCGAAAGAGACAAAGAAGAAATATCACAATGGATTGGGTTTGCGCTTCAGGTCAGACAGCAGTGACTGGTCTTGCGCAATCTATCGCGCTACTTGCTACTACTTTATTAATCTTGCTCATTATCAACCCGAACTGTATTCACCAATTCACTCAGAAGCCCTTTGGTTAGTAAGCACATACGAAGGATTAAGAACATCTGTCTGTCTGTTTTCAATATAGAAATTTGCACTGATGTGCAGAAGTTCAAATCGCCACACTCCACTCCTTGGAGCACACAAACCAACAGAAGAAATGCATAATAAACACAGTAGACAGGGATATGAGACAAAAGGAATTGTAATAACGAAGAACAATATAGTTTCATCGGGGATTATAAGTCACAAGGAGTGGATGCATCTGCGTCAGCCATCATTGAGAACTACAATTTTGAGCCATATCACCGATTGTCTCCATTAATGTGAATCGTCCCGCGGACCCCAACCAGTCAGCCAGCCAGTCTACACCTTCCTACGTGGCTGGGTGACTGGATTTCATTGACTAATGAAGCCATGTTTTCGTTTGACCACCAATGGCTCTTTTCCAACCTGACCCTATGTCAGCTAACATTGACATTCGAGGAAGGCAGGCGATGACTAGGCATACGTAACACATGTCCTAACCATCTCAGTCGATGTAGCTTCACAACCTCGTTGATTGATTTATCCTGCTTACCTAGCACTCGACCGAAGACTAACTTCAACATTGCTCACCCTATTATACCACCTAACAAGTGATATAGAACGCAGGCACCTATGATCAAAGACAGCTAGTCAGGCTTTTCATGTCTTCCACTCTCAATGGATATGTCTCGCTCACAGCCATAAAGGAGGATGGAGCGTACTGCTGAGCAGTAACACCCGCCCTTTGGTCGATAGCCAGTTGGATATCAAGTCTACGCCAGAGACGGCGTAAACTGACATGCGAAACTAGCCTTCTGTATTCGTGCTGAGATTTCGTTAGAGATCAACCCGTTGGGACTGATGGTACTTCCCAAGTAAGTGAAGAGGTCAACGTGTTCCACCATTTCACTTTCTATTTCCGAGCTAGGAGTCAATGTAGTCGAGTGCTGTAACATCATCTAACATTTGGCCGGAGCGAATCGCGGACTAAAAAGAGAGCATATATTAGATTTTCCTCAAGTGTATTTGCTAAATTAAGAAACCTAATTTTGAAACGGTGGATTCAGTCGAAATCAATCAAGCCTTTAAAAACCCAGAGAAAACCCTGGCTTCACAGAAGTCATAGCTATTATCAAAAGATTTCAACTTAGTCTCGATATACACTAACTATCCTGGTAACCAGACATCTCTGCTCTACACTGTTAGTTTTCTTTTTGTTTTGTTTTCTTGCGTTACAATTCTTTCTGACTACAACTCACTTGAATTGGAATCATTATTAGTCTTCCTCTTTCTTACTACTCACTACTTCTTTTCGCTTCACTTCAACTGAGAGCCTTCCAACTTTCTATCATATGAGATGCATGAAAATAAACTCTGCTATGTTCGATTATTTACTATCTCGTGTTCATATATTTAGTTCCACAACTATTTTTTGTATTCCCTTACGTTCCCAGTGAAACATAGGGTTACTTCAAGCTAGAGCTGTGAAGTTTGGGTAGCATTGGTATTTATTTTCACGGGGGGTTGCTTACCTCATGCCCAACCTTCGCACTTTACCAGTCTTACTGCTGGCTTAGAGAGGTAAACGAGTGGGTCTGTGGCCGGGGATCGAACCCGAAGCACCTGAGCGGTTGGCGAGAATTCTACCGCTGTGTCACCAATGCACTCCACAATTATCCTTGATGCCTTTATAATTGACTGGTTTCAACATAGAACTTCGTACCAAATAAGTAGCAGTTCGAGTTTGACTCATTTATAATAACAACTTAGGTCAATATTTTATGCTGTTAGCAACTGATAGAAGGTCATGATAATAAATCAAAGGTAGAACACTCCACGGTCACATACGCAGGAAATGCACGAACAGTTTCGACTCCTAGCAGACACATTCTTAAACCTTACCAAGTTGTGATAGTAAGAGAGCAGTTAAAAAAGGGAATTGATGGTTGTGTGTGAGAGAGGCTAGAAACACTCCCACCTCAAATCAATAAGAAGGAAGTTTCACACACAAAGGGTCAAACTTCAGGTCGAGGAAACAAGCAGTACCAATACCAATACAAGTAGCCTAGAAGGTATAAAAACAAACGAAAATAACCAAGGTCACCCACCAGTAGAGATTATTAATAAACTGCGTGGAGAAATCAGATATATGTCTGATTTCCCACAAACTGGAAGACATGCAAGCGAAAAGGAACAAGTTGGCAGAAGAAGCATCAAAGATAGGACTCCAAGTAAACATACAGAAAACAGAGGTGATGAAGATTCCTGGGCAACACCACCAACAGCAACAACAACTACAACAGACAACAATCAGCATAAATGGGAGGAACCTGAAAGAAACAACCTCCTTTACCTACCTGGGAAGCATCGTTTCAATTACAAACGGATGGAACTGACGAGGATATCAAAGCAAGAATCGGGAAAGCAAGGCAAGCTTTCACTACTCTCAAGTCTGTGTGGAGGTCAACAGCACTCAGCATCAAAAATAAGATCCCGATTTTCAACTCCAATGTGAAGTCAGTGCTACTATACGGATCAGAGACTTGCACTACGCGTCATAAAGAGCATCTCAAACAAACTACAGATCTTCATTAACAGTTGTCTTCGCTCAATACTCAAGATCAGATGGCCGGCCAGAAAAGATCAGAAACATGGATATCTGGGAGCGAACCAACCAGGAACCGATTGTGAAACAAATATGCAGAAGGAAATGGAGATGGATTGGCCATACTCTTAGGAAACCATCAAGTGACATCACTAGACAAACCCTCGAACTGGAACCCGAAAGAGAAGCGGCGAGTTGGTCGTCAGTGTGAGGGTGACTTGGAGGAGGTCATGTGAAGACGAGATGAAAACGTGTGGGCAGACATGGAGCCAGTTGAAGACTCTAGCAGAAAACCGAACTCAATGGAGACGCACGGCTGAAGCCCTATGTTCCTCTAGGAATTAAAGGATATAATAATAATAATAATAATAATAATAATAAGTGTAGAAATCTAAAATTTCTTTTCAATTCAAATTCAAGTATGCGCTGAAGATGTTGCCTAGTAGGGTTATGAGAGAGAGGACACAACTGCATAATACAAAAAAACATTGCCTTCTGTTTACCACATAACAAAAAAAAACGCTAAACATCTAGATGCATAATCTAAAGAAGGGAAAAAGAAAGAGAGGAGAACTTACACTGACGACATTCTGGTGACCAACTATCCCCAGTAGTTAAATCTGTTGATCCAGAAAAGTAAAGGTATACTCGACGTCCTTTTTGACAAGCATTGTCAATTTGAGTGGTAAGCTCATCCAAAGACTGAACTAACAGTTGTTCCATAGGCATAATTATTAATTTTTTTTTGTGGTCTTATTTCTGAAGAAGAACACAACATACACATGAATGAATGTACGTTAAACTATATGCATACAGACTAGTGAAACTAATTTTCTTTTCAGACATCCATAAAACAAAAAGAAAATTGGGCAAAGAATATCTTCTTCGATAATTTCCTCCTCTTGCTCTACAATTATATATATCTTCATATATATAGAATATTCTAGAATAGTAGTCAAACCTGGATAACAGGATTTTCATCATGAGCTGACATCAGTTAGAGAACCATTGGAAAACCTGAGAGTACTGGACAGCTGTTTCGTCCTAGTTTGGGACTCCTCAACAGTACGCACCCACCGGGATTCGAACCCAGGACCTTCTGGTTACAAGGCGAGCTCGTATACCACTAAGCCACTGGGACCCGATTCAATGGCTCATGAATTCCAACTTCTGCCAATTCATGACATACCGCGAACCCTAGCCAATGTCTTCGGCAAGTATTTGTCCTGACACCCGATCTGTTCCACCCTACCGGTCATGACTTCTCACTAGAACCCCAGGGTAACTGCCTACCTGAATAAAGCAAGTCGCTAGTGAGCATCTCATTGATATTCAAGTGTTGATCCTGGGTTCGAATCCCGGTGGGTGCGTACTGCTGAGCAGTCCCAAACTAGGACGAAACAGCTGTCCAGTACTCCCAGGTTTTTCAATGGTTCTCTAACTGATGTCAGCTCATGATGAAAATCCTGTAACCAATCAAACCCCTACAAACCAACACTTGAAAATCCTGGATAAATTTAACGAGATTCATCCTGCAATAAATTTTACCACTGGGAAAGGAAAAGACTCTAGTATTTCATTTCTAGACATCCTTATCACTAGAAAAGAGGACGGTACAATAAGAAGAAGTGTATGTAGAAAACCTACATCAACTAACTAACCGGTCAGTATACTCATTTTTTCAGCTTCGTGCCTTTGAAGTAGAAATGCAATCTGATAAAGTGCTTATTCTGCCACAGAGCAAGAACAATCTGCTCGGATGAATGTCTTCATGAGGAACTTAACAATATGGAACGGTTGCTGAGTGAAAACGATTATTCAGAAAAGCTTATTGATAAAAATATGAATCTAAAATCAAGGCAGTCTAAGGTACAAACAGTTTCTAAAAAGGCCTTACTTACAAATTCAGTTCCTCAGGGAAAATATCAGGGAGATACTAACACAACGCCTAGTGAATACGGTGGTAAGAAGAGCATTCCCTGCTGCCGAATTACGCTATATCTTCAAAACCACCCACCCCTATTTTGCGTTCGGGAGTAAAAGATATACTGCCTGATTTCGCCTCTTCCATGAGTATCTATGAAATTCAACTGCTCCTGTGGAGCCAGTTAGCTGCTTATGCCGTACAATTAGACGTCTTTCTCATCGGATTTCCGAACACCACCCTGCGTGCTTGGTTAAGTAAAAGACAAACAAAATCCATCCACCTACCTCATCTTGTGGATACAGAACACAAGATTGACGTCAATCAGGCTTTCAAAGTCATTTACCGCCTTAAGAGTTCGATTACTAAATATTGCTGAGGCCATTGGGATCCACATTAAGAAGCCTAATTTGTGCGTCTAAAAGAAGCTAGTTCAGACATTATCCTTACATTGCCCATCAAGTTTCGAATGATCCTCAATTTTTGTGGAAATTTCCTTTAATTTTAGTTGATATTCTATTTGCTATTATATCTTTATTATTATTAATTATTATTATTATAATTTAAGCATCTTTAATGAACTGTAATTCTATTTAATCTTATTTTACAAATCGATATTATTTAAAAAACACTAATATTGTTGTTGACTACTAATCTAAAATATTCTATGTATATAAACATATAGATATAATTGTAGAGCCAAAGGAGGAAATTATAGAAAAGGATATTCTTTGCTCAATTATTTTGTGCTTTATAAATTTCTTTTAATTATACACATATATCTAGTAGTTAGTCTGGAGACAGAGAATACGCGAACACCTAGGAGGAAGACTCTTATTGCATGTATCGGTTTCGATAGGTGCTACCTCGACATGGTAGTCGAGGTAGTATACGGGTGGTGACCCAACCGAGCTGAAACTGATATTACTGCAGGTAATAACATGCCAGAAAGGTTGTTTAAATAACGGTCAGTTACCAACATAGTGTAAATCGTTGAGATGGTGGTTGTTGGCAAAGTGGTACTACTGGATGGGGGATTATAAAATGACGATCCTGAGAATTGTACACCCCAATTTATCTTGCGGCGGACCGTAACTTGTGATAATATTTAAATACAGACATAATTCGAAAAGCCAACTTAAACAGGCATTAAGCTGTGCTCTTCTCTCTTATGTCATGTTAACAGCAAGTACTGCGAATAATTCTCATAAATTGCATGTGATTAGGGAGTAGAAGAACTACAGTTTGGACTCAGTTGCTTCAACCAGACTTTCTTCATGCGCCACGCTAAACGCCACAGAATCATTGTGCGTGTGTTGCGGCTGTTGACGCTACCAAGCTGCTCAAGTTGAAACAAGCAGAGTAAGAACTTTTGGTTATGAATCGGGGACTTGAGCCAATAACTAATATCTCCACTGGAGGTAGAGGAGCCAATTACGACAGAAATCTTCCAAATAAACTCCTCAATATAAAATTTTACACTAGGGACAAATAATCTCCCAAACAATAGTGCAGATGAGGAAAGTCGATTTCAGGCAAACAGTCTGAGAAGTTCTATTCCCACCCCTACTTAATTCATTTGAATATGCGCCTCAGCAGAATGTCCGCCAACCTTGCAAGTGGTTCAGGACTCCATTACTGCCCCCCTGGTTAGAGATAAGTCTTGAAAGAGACGAAAGGTTGGACGTAAAGACGGGCAACCCCAGTGCGCAAAAATACAAGACAACAGCTGCTGAAACTTCGAAAACTCGATACGCAAAGGAATGATGAAGGAAAACACCACAAACAGTTCAAACGAAGAGAGAAAATATACACACTGGCTTACACCAAGAAATTCACGCTTACAAAATATCTATCTGAAAGACCTTTGAAAATACTACCATATGACTGAATGGAATAAAAGAAGACTACGGCGACATAAAATAACCAGGATCAAGGTAAATTTTAAAAAAAACTCGGTAAAGTTCACTACTTTTTTTTATGAGTTCAAGAAAGACAAGTTTATTATTCACAAACTACTCAATAAATAATTCAACAGTGAAAAAAAGATGACTAACTAACCTCAGTAACCTGTATCAACTCCAATTTTGACATAGTCTTAAAAATAAACACAATAACTAGAAATTAATTGGTGGATGATGACTAGCAGTGGAATCCAGGATGAGCATTTCGTCCTATTTTGGGACTCGTCAACCAGACCACCACTTGGGCCAAGTGGTCTAGTGGATAACGGTTTTGCGTTCAAAACTACAGGCACTGGTTTCGAGACCCGGTGGGAAGATCATTACCCACTGCGGAATGCAGAGGTCCATCCAGATGACGAGTTCCAAATAGGACGAAATGCGCATCCTGGTGGATTCCACTGCTAGTCACCATCCACAAATTTAATTCTAACTACATGCCCAGACATCGTCGAAGCATCTGCGCAAGAAGCCGACAGACATGTCAACCTGAGACCGAGCACTTCGGTCCAATCAATCGACGGGAAAATCTAAAATTCAATAAAACACAATAACTGATAGGCCGTCATAGCTAGTGAATATAATTCAATGAGAATTACAATCAGATCATAATTAAGGTATCATATCTTGATCTGATCTTTCAGTGTGGAACTTTCCACAAAAGGACGACAGTTTCAGTTGTTACACACCTCATATAAGGCGTAAATACACCTTTCCACCATAAAGAACGATTTTGAGTCATCCTTGATGCTTAAAGGATCCCAACCCTACACAGATGGCTAAGACCACCAACAGACAGATACTCCACGAATTGATACCATTGAGTTCTGTGAGTGAAATAAAGCGTTTCGAGCTTGAGTTCTAAAATCTCAGTAGAACAGAGTAGTGGTATTCTTGTTAACCTCAAACACACCCAACCCTCCGCCTTTATCAAGAATCCAAACCAACTAGAACCAAGGTTGAAGAGAGTGGGGTCGGTCAGAAATCGAACCCTGGACCACATATACATAGTTTAAATACGTATCCCATTAAACAAAATTTTCGACTCATAAATTAATACCTATAGATAATGAGATTTGTGGGGATTTTGGATATTAATGTAATTCCAACATCAGTTAGAGAAAGACAGGGAGATCATCCAAAACTAGAAAAAAACCACTCGACATCTATTTCGTCCTGATTCAAGACTCTTCAACCTATGAGTCTCCAGCTCACTGCTATTGGATGGATGTCTTAAAGCCATCTGCAGTGAGGTGGGGTGGACATTTGTTAAAGGCATTGGATGAGGATTGAGTTGACCGGGAATAGAACTCCACAGCTGAACCACGGGATCAACTCGAACTACTCATATTTTTTCTCAACCTAATAGTTCCTATATACTAGCTAACAAAGCATAACGAAGCAAGGAAAGGCTGGTTTTAGGCGGCTTAGCAGCATTTATTACCTTCCGCGATGTGTCTGTCTGGATTCAACATAGAACTTAGCACCGAAGTGAAGCAGTTCGAGTCGCCACGTTCCAAATACCACACAAAGGTAGACAAGAAAATGAGTGATGAAGAGAATCAATAGAGTTTTGACAAGTATAAGAGTGAAACAGAATGAGTAATGGTAGAAAGGAATATGAAAGATTACACAAGAGACTGAATACATCTGCGTAAGCCATTGACAACGATTTTGAGCCATGTCACCACCTATTGTCTGTCTCCAGCCATTGGTTCTTAAAGTCCCGAGGGCGGGCCCCAACCCGGAAGTCTGCATCTCCCTACCTGACTCAGTTTAACTGTCCAACCTGCACCTATATCAGCTAGTAATGCCCGCCGGGGTGGGGTAGGCGGTGGTTACGCATGCGCAGCACGTCGTGACCTAGCCATCTCAATCTATGTAATCTATATAGCCTCGTGGATTGATTTTCCCTCTTTGCCCAACCAACACTCTACGCCTAACGTCAACATTACTTACTTACCTTATTATACCACCTCCTAACGTGAGAAAGAGATCGTAGACATCTATGATCGAAAACAGTCAACCTTTTCATGTTTCTGCGATCTACGAAAACATTAGAAAGGAGTCCGTTAACACACATGCACACACGCGCACAAGCAGACAACACACAAACAGATATCACCAAATCAAAAAGTAATATAAGTATAAATGCATAATAATATTATTTCTATTTTATCAAATAATAATAATAGTAATGAAGAGGTATACAACAGATTGCATAAGTAATAGTAATAATAATAATAATAATAGCAGTAATATTAATAATAGTAGTAGTAATAGTAATAATAATGTTGAGTAAAGATCATTATTCAAATAGTTAGTCAACAGCGGAGAATTCAAGGTGTGTCTGAATGTAAACTTATCATCATCATCGCCATCATCATCATTGTCGTCGTCATACTACTAACACTAATATACTACTCATTTATGTATCTGTGGTAATTTATATCCTCCACAAAAAAGGAAGAAGGAAAATTGTAATGCTGATGCTTCGGTTGCTGCAGCTGCTGATGACGACGATGTTGTCGGTGTTGAAAAGGGATGAATGATATATGAATGAATACCACTCATTATCAGTCATTATCAATAGACAAACAGATGATAATTAAGTAAATATTATTATTATTCATAAAAATTGACAAATAATTGTTTGCTCCCCACACAAACCTATTTTTTCAGCATCTCGTTCAATAGAAAACAAACAGCGAGCAGAACAAAAAAGTACGTCTGACAGAGGGATGGATGAATGAATGAATAATAAATATAAGCGCTTTTTTTAAAGAACTTGATAATAATGACAGACTTTGGAAAAGGAGTCAAAGGTTGACGAGATAGAGTACAGTGGTGTTGCAGGCATAGACAGCAGACATAGATCGACACGCACACATGCAGACTCAAACGAACTGAAGAAGAAGAAGACAAAAACAAACACAACACGAGTTGTGGTAGCGATGCTGGGTCGGGATGCGTGGGTAGGGACGGGGAGCAAAACAACTTTACAAGAGTGAAAAGTTTCATATTTGAAGAGAAAGAAAGAAGAAGAGAAACGCAATTACTGTACACACATTTTTTGTGAGATTAACACACGCGCACAAAAGTACAATGATGAAACAACAGTCTAAATCAATGCGGGACGATAGGCGGAAGGGGAAGGGGGATTTGCGACTTGGAGGAATCGATCGATGGATGGATCGATGGACGGGATAGATGAAAGCACCTAATTGAATACAACGGTGAGTTACTGTCTACATACATACATATGCATAGGTTATTACGCATACAAAATAGAGTTTACATACATATGTGTCTAAATGTGTCGTCTTTCAGTTGAATAACAATATTAGTAGTAATAATAATAATAATAATAATAACAATAATAATAATAATGGTAATCATATTATATTTCATTGAATTGAACATAAAACAAAAGAAAAGAAAATTGATGATAAGAAATGAGATCGCAATTCGGTTATTTCTACTATGTACACACACACAAACATAGAGGATTGCAGGACAGTGGAGCAAACGAAACGAGATTTACCGCCACAACTACAACTCATCAATGGTGTGAATAGAATTCTGTCACACATATCAAATAAATGTGTTACATCGTATATATGTTTAACTCTACACACAACAAAAAAACCTGTTGAAGACAGAAAGAGTTCACGTTGCGACTGACCAACGGTGGCATGTGGAGAGACAGCGGCGGCGGCGGCGGCGCCGGCGGGAGCAGGAAAAACGATTCCACTGAAGAGATACTTATATAACAATATATCAAATCCGCTAAAATAAAACCGGGTTGATATTATTATTTCGGTAATTGATTTCCAGCGCACATTACATTTTTTTAAAACTGTGGAAAATGAAAATTCGGAAAAGCTTGTGAATGTAAGTGATTGAATACCGCAGCAGCATGTGATGATGATGATGATGAAGGGGCGGATGCGGCAGATGTAGAACTTCGATCAATATGTGCAGCGATATTTTGAGCTTGTTGACGCTGTTGTTGTTGCTGTTGGAGTTGTAATTGCTGTTGCTGCTGTTGTTGTTGTAATAATAGTTGTTGTTGTTGTTGCTGCTGTTGCAGTTGCAGACGTTGTTGTTGTTCTTTAGCAGCGGCGGCTAACTGAAATTGTTGATATTGTACAGCGGAATTATTAAACTGTAATCTTAAATTATTATTATCTTGAACAGTTTGAGCATGGTTATTATTATTATTATTAGCAGTCGTAGGAGTGGGAGTCTGATGACTGTGACCGGTTTGTTGACTGTTATGCGCTAGATATTGTTGCATCGCTGCAGCTACAGCATGCGACGGTGTTGATGGTGGTGCTAGCGATGGTTGTTGTTGCTGCTGCTGCTGTTCCCTGAACGGAGATCGTTGTAAATCAAACGAACCGGTGGCAGCAGCGGCGGCGGCGGCTCCTACTGGTACTGCCGGCGACGATGCAACCGCGGTAAGTTGTGGACGTTGATTTGTTAGTTGCGAAAAATAATCTTGCATCATTGATACATGACTTTGTAAAGTATTCGGATTATGACTAGGCAATTGGACATGCTGTTGCTGACTATTATTACTATTAGCACTACTATTACTACTACTGATATTCGCATCAGTAGTATTCCCACTATTCAGCCTTGATTGATTTTGATATATTGACTGATAGGCATTCACTGGATTATTGCTGGTATTGGCAGCAGCTGTTAAAGCTGACTGACGTGCAATATCTTCAGCTGCACGTAAATACTGATGCTGTTGTTGTTGCTGCTGTTGCTGTTGTTGCAACTGTCGATGCGCTGTCGACGAAGAAGAAGATGAAGATGCCGACTGGGGAGGAGCATTTTGAGGCGACTGATAATACGGAACACTAACAACATTCGATTGATAATTTGTAGTTGATGGGAAATTCTTCTTCGGATTATTCATAGGATTTGATTGATGAAATGACTCTTGACGTGGAGTATCATTGAAAGATCTAAATCTCGACGAGGCTGCCGCCGCCACCGACGACGACTGGACATTGCTGTCATCATTCACTGAAGATGGTGGATTAGTAACACCAGCATTCGTAGTACTCGTAGTGCTAGTCGTATTTCTTAAAGGGGTGGTGTTCAGTGAATTCATACGACAAGTACAACCAGTAGCCAGCGTACGCCCACAGGTTGAACAAGGCCAAGATAATTCTCCCGATTGACTGCCACGTTGTAAATGTGATTGGAAAGGATCCTGGGAAGAGAATGTATGATTTGGATAGGTTATACCACTATTCCCACTAGTATTACTATTGTTATCCTTTTTCATATTATTATTATTATTATTACTATTATTATTATTATCACGTCGATTTATCATTTGATTTTGATAATTTGACGAATCTTTACCGCGTAAATCACCCGAGGCGAATGTTTCATTCGATGAATGAGCACGTTTCGGCGACGTATAGGCAACAGTAGACGACGCTTCACTAACAGTAGTTGGCTGTTGAAATACACTCGCCTCGGATCGATTATACGACTGGGAGTAGTTGAAAGGTTGATTATTATTTGCATATGGCATTGATTGATGATTTGAGACATTCATTTCTGGTTTATTTTGTGAATGATATACTCCAGAGGCGGCAGTATTCGAATCAGAATAAGATCGTTTCTGATGTGTCAGAGGATTCTGATGTTTTTCATAATTTGCTGTAGAATTATTATTATTATTATTGTTATTGTTAGGATTCACTGTGAACGCCGACGATGAAGGGACAGTGTTACCAATTCCCGCAGTACTACTACTACAACTACCACTAATAACTGTAGACTGTTGTACAGATTGAGCGGATGAATTCTGGCCAGATACACTGACAGGGTCTGTGGAAGGTGTTTGACTATCCACTGTACTGGGTGTACAATTCGCTTGACTATCAGCAGTAGGTAGACTAGTACTACCACTACTCGCACTAGCACTAGCGTCAGTAGTTGACGCTGGTGTACTGTTCGCTCCACTAGTCTTGACAATAAATAAATCTCCAGTACGACTTATACGTAAATATTTCGCCTTTGGGGTTTGAATCACTTCGAGTACTTCACCTTTAGGTATTTTACGTTGTGTAGTAGTTGAATTGGTTGTTGATGGAAAAAAGAGATCTGAAAAAAATAGTGAAAAACATAGTTTTATTAAAAGGAGTTGGTATTCTACAAAATATTCCGGGTCAAATTATAACAGAATTCCACTGAACATTAATGTTATGCGTCCCTACTTTTCGTACAGACTGAATTCTATCGGTCAAGTTTGCAGTGTGACCATTACGCTGACTGACTGACTGGATGGTTTCTTTATGGAACTTTGCAAAGATGTGCACGAGTTCCAGTTACCACTCTACCCCACTTGTATCACACAAAGCAACAGAAAAGAGTAAAGAGAGATAATAGAAAGAACTGTGAGAGAAAAAACAATAGTAATATACAAGAACAATTACTTTGATTGGATATGATAAATCAATCACAAAGAGTGAATGCATCTGCGCCAGCCATTGACAACGATTTGGAGTCATATAACCCACCGATTATCTTCAGCTTTCATTCAACGGAAGTCTACACCTCCCTATCCGGCTGACTGATTTAAACTAACTGTTATGGTTTGTAGAGATTGCATCATGAGCTGACATCAGTTCGAGAGCCATTGAAAAAAAAACCGGGAGAACTGCTAGACATCTGTTTCGTCATATTAATATATGTGTAAAACTCAGGCACTGTGGTGGTAGTAAGCAATTCAATATTAGTTTGTTTATTGGATATATCACAAGACAGTGAGTGAAAACAGTATTATTCAATGGATGGCAAAGTTTTGAACAAAATTTATTCTTCATAAACATATCAATTGTAAAAATAATAATAATAAAGACGACATGCTTGTCGAACATGCACAGGATAATGACAACAACAGCAATAAGGAATATAAACCATCAGTGGTAATTCCATACAAAGAAGGAACCTCGGAAACCTTACACAGAGTTCTTAACAAGGGAGGAATAAAGGTGGTTGGCATTCAAACCACCCACAAACTCAATTAGAAACAAGCTTTGTCGGTTACAGGATCAATCCTGTGGAGCCTTTAAAACAAAACAATTTACTTTATCTAATACCCTGCTAGAATGATTGTCAGGTCAAATACATAGGTCAAAGTAGTAGAACAGGGGCAGTCAGACTAGCTGAACATAAAAACCTAGCAAAATCTACATTGGTTGACCCAAATAAGATAAGAAATCTAGAGAATAGTTCAGCTATAGTACTCACTACATACAATTACACACAACACAGCCATACAATAGGATGATGGGATAAGATGACAGTTTTAAAAACAAATGTAGTAGCAGGGTGGAGGGAGAGAGAGATTGATAACGGAAGCTTTGTTTGTCGAATCAACTGAGAGAGAATACGTGTAATAGGAATGATTCAACACCTGTCCACTCAGATATCTGGAATATTCTACTACCTCAACGACGACAAATAGGAGAGAACAAAGGAAACTATAAAACTCGAGTTTCGAAGTCGTGTGATTATAATTGCTGATATGATTATGGACAGTAATAAATTGTGTTCGAAACCTTGTCACCCAGTATACAATACTGTTTCACTGTGTGATATATCCAAAAAACAAACTAATATGGGATATGATAAATAAATCACAAAGAGTAAATGCATCTGCGCTAGCCATTGACAACGATTTCGAACCATAATCATATCAGCAATTATAATCACACGACTTCGAAACTCGAGTTTTATAGTTTCCTTTGTTCTCTCCTATTTGTCGTCGTTGAGGTAGTAGAATATTCCAGATATCTGAGTGGACAGGTGTTGAATCATTCCTATTACACGTATTCTCTCTCAGTTGATTCGACAAACAAAGCTTCCGTTATCAATCTCTCTCTCCCTCCACCCTGCTACTACATTTGTTTTTAAAACTGTCATCTTATCCCATCATCCTATTGTATGGCTGTGTTGTGTGTAATTGTATGTAGTGAGTACTATAGCTGAACTATTCTCTAGATTTCTTATCTTATTTGGGTCAACCAATGTAGATTTTGCTAGGTTTTTATGTTCAGCTAGTCTGACTGCCCCTGTTCTACTACTTTGACCTATGTATTTGACCTGACAATCATTCTAGCAGGGTATTAGATAAAGTAAATTGTTTTGTTTTAAAGGCTCCACAGGATTGATCCTGTAACCGACAAAGCTTGTTTCTAATTGAGTTTGTGGGTGGTTTGAATGCCAGTCACTTTTATTCCTGCCTGCTTTGTTAAGAATTGTCCACAAAGTTCGCGAGGTCCCTTCTTTGTATGGAATTACTACTGATGGTTTAGATTCGTTATTGTTGATGTTGTCTTGCGCATGTTTGACATGCATGTCATCATTAATATTAATGTTATTATTATTGTTATCATTATTGTTATTATCACTATTATTACTTATCTTATTTTTAAATTTCCCTAAATACTTTCTGACTAATTTATCATGGTAATTATTAGGTATCAAAGCTTCTCTTATATGCCTCTACTCCTGTCTTAGATTTTCCTTGGTACTATTCTGGTACTCTGGAAAATTCTACTACCCGAACAACGACAAATAGGAGAGAACAAAGAAAACTATGAAACTCAAGTTTCGAAGTCGTGTGATTATAACTGATGCTATGATTATGAAGAATAAATTATGTCCGAAACCTTATCATCAAGTGTAAATAATACTGTTTCTGTGACTGTGTGATATATCTAATAAACAAACTAATATGTAGTTACTTACTAGCACCACAGCCCCTAAGTTTTACACATATATTAATATGACGAAAAAGATGTCTAGCAGTATTTTTTAATGGCTCTTTTAACCGATGTCAGTTCACAATGAAATCCTGGATTTCTCTATTTGGAACTAGTCCAGGAGCTCAAAAATTGCATTTCAATCAGACTGATGTCATTATTAGAAACACTGAAAATCAAAGAGTACTGGACAACTATTTTGTCCTCGTTTGAGACTCTTCAGAACTACGTACCTACGAATCTACCGGTGGTCAAACTCAGGCCTTTCAATTCACGAGGAAAGCTCACTGAATACTCTCAACCACAGAAACGGGATCCAATAACTCATGAATTTAAACTTCTGCCCATTCACAAATTTCAGTGTCACTACTCACAAGCGAATGTTATAGACGAATATATGTCCTTACGCCAAAATTGGTGGACCCCTACTGGTGGTCACAATTTCTTACGAGAAATCCAGACAACTACTTTTTTAGAGATCTGATATTCATCTACGATCAGAATTGAAACCCCATCAGATCTCAACAAACTAACACTCAGGAAATTTAAACTTAGCTCCTTCTAGACAGCTTGAAAGCGTATTCCTTTTAAAAAAAGGAATACCAAAGACAGCGATACATACAAGAAACCTTTCTTATAAAAAAAACATACTGAAGGAATCAGTATTTAGTCAGCAGAAATTAAAACTGAAGACGAAATTTTTTTTCAAAACACACCTGGACCACAGAGGATTTCGAACTAGCGTCCCTGGAATTGCCACCACCCCCAGCAACCTAGCATTTGTGAGTTGGGGACTAGTAATTCGGCAGCAGCAGCCGGCCCCCCTCATTCCAATCGAACCCCAAGGCTATCTCAGATAGTATCAAAATCAATACTGTGAATACCATATGGCATAAGTAATATACAACAGATGGAGTCAGTAGTTGGTCACGTGATAGTTGGAATAAAACACTAAATTTTTTAAAACAAAAAGATATGAGGAGACAGTTTTCGAGTTTTTGTCATTTCACACACACAAACACACACTTTATCTATCATGTGACAATATTATAACCTGTTAGTTGGATCAGTGTGACTTAGACAGAAGAATAAAACCACTATATAATATTATATTATAATGCTCAGGTGCCTAAAATGTTGTGATAGTGTTGTGTAGGGTAGGGTAGGTAAAAGAAAAAGAAGTATGCAGTATCAAATCAAGTGATCCAATGTCTGTCTGATAACATTAAAAAAATACACTGATAAATCAGATAGTTGGAGGCAATCAGTCACAGGAAGCATTTGAACTACTTAGGTTCCGTGCAAGTTGGCACTCACCAGTCAGGAGTATCTGAGACCAACTTGAAGGAAATCATGTCCCTCCTTCCGGGATTCGAACTCGCATGATCCGGTGAGGGCTGTAGTCGGAGACGTTACCACCGCTGAGCTTTTCGGGCTCGCGATTGACCTCCTGTAGGACTGTAGTGGATACTTTTAAATGGTGGACACACTACAAAACTGACTCATAGAATTCAGTCTGCACCAAAAGAAAGGACTACATACGTCACACTAGTTACTAGTGTCCAATCAAAGTATCCACCACAGTCTTACGAGCCCGAATAGCTCACTGGTAACGTCTCTGACTGCAGAATTCACTGGGTGACGCGCGTTCGAATCTCATAAGGGACATGAGTTCCTTCAAGGTGGTTGTAGATACGCCTTGCTGACGAGTGCCAACTAGCATGAAACCTACGTCCAAGGCTTCCTACTGATTGCCTCCAACTATATAATATCATCAAATCAATGTGCACTGTGATGGCGAGTTACCTAGTGGCATGGTGGCCACATTGCAAACTTGACTGACTGATAGAATTCAGTCTGTACCAAAACAAAGGACTAGACACACATCGCACTAGTTACTAGTGTCCAATCAAAAAACACTGATAAATTATTTAAAAACCGTTTCCCTAGACTAGACAGAGAGAATAAAGCCTGATTTACTGAGTACAGTTCAACCTACCACACATTCCATTTAGTTAGTACACAAAGATAAACTACAAAAATGTCTAAGAGAACCATAGTGAGCAGAAATGCGTGGGATACATGACAACATGGTCAAGTTAAACTTTAAGCACCACTAACTAACTATCACCAATGGAGTGCAACAGCACCAAAGACCTTGCCACACCCACTGATCAAGTTTGTGGAACCTGGCAAGTAATGCTGTCATCATCAATTGAAAATGCTCATAGAAGTGTTAGATTATTAAATGGGACATCCCGGAAGTTTCAACATAGGTTTGGGAAAGATTAAGTTACGCCTTAAGCCAAGGACAAGTTAGGGCTTGGTTAACCT